TTCGAGGCAGGGTACAATTTTTTAAAAATGAACACAAATATCCAATAAATTACTAAATTACATAGATAAAACTATATATATGTATGTGGGTGAGAGTGTCTGTGTATGTATGCGCATGCTATGCCTTTGCCAGCTGTTTATTCCCCATCATGGAAGATGGTCCGAAACAGTGAAACAGCACTTCTAGTGATTGTTTCTGGTTTGGATTATTTTGTATTTGTTGGAAGGAAGGAAGGTTTCCAGAGTAAAAACTAGAAAGTGGCTTTAACATTTGTGCAAAAGTTGACATTTTGATGGCTGTTGCTTATTACCGATTGCATCACAACACCTGCCAAAATGTTCTCTTCTACACAACTGCTAAAGGTACAGAAGCTCACGTCAGTATTTAATCTGGCAACTCCAGCAAGGTGGTCACTGTCATTTAAAAAGTTACAAATTGTTCTATTATATTTCTGGTAGTGTTTGAACTGAAACTACAAATCCATGTAGTTTAACACTGTTCCTGCAAGCTGGCCCTTAAAATGGCAAGCCAGAGTCATTATTGGTAAACTATACCTGAGTGGGTAGTTAGGAAGAAGATCTGGTGAACCAAGTTTCCCATCCTGAATGGCATCTTATCTCAGGTGAAACAACATGGAAGTCCACAGTGTTCAGATAATAATGGGTATAAGTTATGGCTCCAGTCATCTAGTGTTAAGCATGTACTTAAGACCCAACTCTTCAAAAAACAAAGAGATATTTCACAGGGCTGATACAAAGTCTTCAACCCCATCTTCTCTTATCCCCAAGCTTTCATCTCAAAAAAAATGAAAATATTAGATATGCTCAGAACTTAAGGAGATGTCTGTCTCTTTATCGTACAGTAAGAATTAAATTGAACTTCTAGTCTTAAACAGAACAGACCCATCAAACCAGTTGCTAGATAGAATAATAGAGTTGGAAGAGACCACAGGAGCCATTTAGTCCAAACCCGTGCCATGAAGGAAAACACAATCAAACACCCCCGATAGAAGGCCATCCAGCATCTATTTAGAAGTTTCTAAGGAAGGAGCTTCCACCACAGTCTGAGGCAGAGTTTCACTGCCATACAGCTTTTACAGTCAGGAAGTTCTTCCTAGTGTTCAGGTGTAATTTCCTTTCCTGTAATTTGAAACTATGTACATCTCATTGTTTCCGTGAGTCTGCTCTAGCTAGATCTATTGGATTGGAGAATTACAGTATCTGTACTTTTTTTTAATGAAAGTATGTAAACTGGCCCAAGGGCCCAATCTTCAGGCTGCAAAGTAGATTATATTATCTTTCTAAATGTCCCTTTTAAAGAAGGCAATAAGCTCTTTTCCCGGATGGCTTTATTTCTGTATGGCTAGCCCTTAGATCTCCAACAGCCAAAAATTCACTTGGCCATATAAAGTTACATCTTAATTATCTCCACCTGCCTATGTAGATTCTATTTTATTTGACTACTTTTAAAAAAGATATCTTTTCAATGAGGAACAGATTTCAAAAGTTCAAAATTCTTCTTCCATGTACTGATTTTTAAGGTTATTCTTATCAGTTTCCACAAGTTGAAAAACACCCTGGCCATATTTATTTATTTATCGTGTCAGACACGAATTGAGAATACAGCTATAATATATAGAAAAACCACAAAGTTTAAAACTTGGCATTATACTAAATTTCCTTCGACCAGAAGCTGGCCATTTCGAGTGCCTCTGGTGTCGCTGTAAGAAGCGACATTGTGAATATGGCAGGGCTTGGACTGCATTGTAGTAAGTGGTCTGTGATTTGCTCTTCTCCACACTCACATGTTGTGGATTCCACTTTGTAGCCCCATTTCTTAAGATTGACTCTGCATGTCATGGTACCAGAGCGCAGTCAGTTCAGCACCTTGCCAATTCTCTCACACCAGAAGTGACTTGCAGTTTCTCAAGTCGCTCCTTACATGACAAAAAAAAGCACCTGTCCAGTCTTCTGTGTGCATACAGAACAGAATCCAGAATATCAAGGCAGAAAAAACCCACAATATCTGCTTTGAACTAGGTTATCTGAGTCCACACTGTAATACATTCCAGTTCAAAGCAGATGTGGGTTTTCATTCAACTGTATGGAAGGGGCCGAAGATATATGTACTTAAAGCACAATATTCAAAGTAATAAAATAAAAATGAAGAATGTCTTAGGCCTCTTCTACACCATATAATCCAAATGATCAAAGTGGATAATCCACATTATATCAGTCTACACTGCCATATAACCCAGTTCAAAACAGATAATCTGGATATTATATGGTAGTGTAGAATAGACTCTCAAGACTTCATCACACAGAATGCCTAATTATGGGCCAAAGCAGCTAAGGCTGTTGGGACTTGAAGTACAAAACCCCTGGAAGACTAGTTTGAGAATCACTTGAGTCAGAGGTTAAGAACCTAAATCCCTGTGCTAAATAGGCAGAAAAGGCTGTTAGGAATTGTGGGAGTTGAAGTCCAAAACACCCGGAGGGCCCATGCCTGTTCTAGTGCCCGCTAAACTCAGTCTGCTAAGTGTTTTGGACTTCAACTCCCAGAAACCCAGATCATTGACCAAGGCAGCTGAGCTTTCTGGGAGTTGAAGTAAAAAAACAAACTTGGAAGAGGAGTTGGGGCATCACTGTCGTAGATTCGCTCTTAGTTTATTTATTTATTTATGACATTTATATGTTGCCCTTCTCACCCCGAAGGGGACTTAGAGTGGCTTACAACATATATATACATACAATATATTATATTATTAGCATAGTACAATATCAGTATTATATATTACCATATTGTACTATACCATTATATTGTAATATTAGTAATATTACATGAAATATAAAATATATAATTATAATATTGTATTATTAGTAGTAGTATTATATTGTACATTATAATATTATAAATACTATATGTATATACATTATATTATATTACATTACATTATTAGTAAAGCACAGGAGACAGGATTCTGCCTTGGTTAGACCACACCTGGAATATTGTATCCCGTTCTGGGCACCACAATTGAAGAGAGATATTGACAGGCTGGAGTGTGTCCAGAGGAGGGCGACTAAAATGATCAGGGGTCTGGAGAACAAGCCCTATGAGGAGCGGCTTAAAGTGCTGGGCATGTTTAGCCTGCAGAAGAGAAGGCTGAGAGGAGACATGATGACGGCCATGTATAAATATGTGAGAGGAAGTCTTAGAGCTGCCGCAAACTAGCGTCTTGGGAGAGCAAACTGTGCCAGCACGACCGATGACGTCGAAGACTCTGCCTCTTTCTCCGCCTATTTCTCCGCGGCCGCGTGGTTTTCCCTTTGCTAGGGCAGCGATGCGAGCGTACTCTCGCTGTTGACAGAATTCAACAGGCAGAGCAGTCACGCTAGCAAGAGAGAGAGGATAAAAAATGGACGACTGCGTTAACAACGAAAAAGTTGAAAAAGAAATTATAGAATTTTATCAATGTAAGTAAATTACATGATTTATAGATGCCATATTAAAAATAAAATAGTATAAACGTTGTATATAAATAGTTTTCGGCTGGTAATCCCTCCAAGCCGAAAACTATCCATGTTTTGGCACGTTCTTCCCATGCTGTTTCGGAACGAAAACAGACAGATTAATATTATAGCAATAAAAATGATTTAAAATCATACTTATAAAAAGCAATAGATCAAAAGACTATCATTGTGCAGAGGTAACAATGTGGGAACAAAGTGTTTTGTGAAGTTGTTCTATCCAGAGATAAATCATTTAAAAATATTAGATTTTCACAAAATTCGATGGAAATAAGTTTTCTATTAATAATATATTCAGTGAGAGATAATAAAATCTTTGTTCTACAGCCAATCCACATCTGTGGAATCCAAGTCATGTGGACTATTACAAAAAGAACAGGAGGGATTCCACACTGACAGTGTTAAGAGACCTTTTAGATTCTGAACATGGTATCAACATCACTTGTAAGTAGACTATGGATATGTATGATGTAGTAGGCTATAATCTGTTCCATCATATCCCAATTATCAAAGTGAAAATAACAACTTGAACATTACCATTATAATTTACAGCAAACAAGATTCTTAGTAAAAAAAATTAAAAATATGAAGGATTCATACAAGAGGGAACTGTCAAAGCTGCAAAAATCAAAGTTGTCAGGTGTGGGCACCAATAATGTGCACAAAATCAGATTTCCGTACTTCAAGGAGATGGATTTCCTTAGGGACTCCATGCAGGCAGATGAAAGTGAGGATACCATCAACCTCAGCATCTCCCTTGAAAATGTAAGTGCGAACATATAGGTTACATAACTGTATGGTGTGATGGTGGTAACACTATAGTTGCTTACCTAGAACACTGATTGTCTCTTTGGACCAGTTATGGATGATTTGATGTACAAATATCACATTCTAACATGTGCATTAGCCATGTACACCACAACATGTCTAATGCAGTGCTGGAATTGATTTCAGGACAAGTGTAGTCAACCCATAGTTACAGAAGAAAGAGAGGACTTGACGTGCACTGAAGCAAGTGAGTTCCAAGAGTTATCTTTTACCATAATTCAAAGCACAGAGCCAAATACCCCGTCATGTAGCCATGACACAATGAACTCAGTAAGTAATTCAGTAACGCCAACAAACAGTCAGTGGTCAAGTCCTCATCCCAGGGACGATGGAGTTACAGTCGACAGACAGGAGAATAAAAGAAAGCAACAGAAGACGTTGCTTGTGTCATCTCCCTCTCTTCAGTCCGAGCTATATAAGAAGGCTGTGGACTACCTGGCAAACAAGCCAAGCAACACCCCAACATGTGCAGAACAAAATTTCAGTAACCACGTCGCTCTCAGCTTAATGAATATTAGTGAAGACTTGTGGGAAGAAGCAAAATATGAAATACAGGGTATCTTGTTGACATATTACAAACAGTCAAGGACCAATAAGCAATAAGTTAGCATTTTGTTGGCAATAAAGTAGACTACTGTAACATGTTATGTTTAATAAAGGTTTGTTTTATTATCAATATGTACAGTTACATTAAAAAATATATAAAATAACTGCTATACAAAACGATGTTGCCAGTACACCGCACCAACATCAGATGTAAAAAATGCTTTAAAATTCTCCCTCACAGCTTTGGCCTCTGTGCTGTAATAATTGGAGTAGGTGGTGGCCACTTGTGGAAGATGCAGATCTGTTCCGGGCTGTATAGGAATCTCAGTCCTCCAGGCACCAGGCAAAGTGGTTCCAGTTTCCACATCTTCTCTGTCCACATAATTGACTGGCCATGATTCTGTGCTTTCATGGCTCCTTAAAAAGTTGTGAAGTGCACAACCAGCAAGTACTAATGTGCGCACTTTGTCTGGCTGTAGCAGGATGGGATTTAGAAATACTCTTAATCTATTAGCAAAACTTCCAAAAGCTGTCTCCACAACTTGGCGGCCACGTGAAATTCTTTAGAAGAAAATAATCAAAAGATACGTTAAATACAACTATTACTATATCAATTTTCCAAGGTCAAAGGTTTCCTTATTATACTATTTCACTGGTATAATGCTACAAGATACAACTGCATTACCCACTGAATGCTTACCTGTAATTGCATATCCGTTCTTCCAGAGTCAAATCATTTCCCCCGTACGGCTTGAGGATATATGGTTTTAATCCAAAAGCGTTATCTGCTAAGAAGACGTATGGAGTGGGTATGTCTTGACCTGGAAGTGGATGGGCTGGGGGCATGTCAAGAGTGTTAACATCTATAAGCTCTTTTAAATTACATTTGTTCCACACACCTCCATCGCTGATCCTTCCTTGTGTGCCAACATCAATATATCTAGAAAATCAAAATGAAGAACATGCTTTAAGCCCTTGGTATAATTAAATTAATTCTTACCTACTGCACTTCAACGTACCGAAATTTATAATTAGCATCCACAACTGCTAAAAGGACAATAGATTCTGTTCCTTTATAATTCTGGTAATGGGAACCACTGTTGATCGGCTTCCTTATCACAATATGTTTTCCATCAATGGCCCCCAAACAATGTGGCACATTCCACCGATCTAGAAATTGCTTGGAAACAGCTCTCCAATGCTCTTTTGATGTTGGCACTTCAAATGTGTACTTCAAGAATTCATACAAAGCTGCACATGTTTCCAAGATGATATATGATACGGTTCTTTCGCCAATTCGAAACTCCCACGATAAGTCTCTGAATGTATTTCCTGTGGCTAGATACCGGAGCGTAATGGTGAGCCTCTCAGCTGCAGATATTGGCTCCCCAAACTTTGTCTTTTGCTTCTGAATTCGGGGAGAGATTTCGTGCAAAAGATGGTCAAACTGTTCTTCTGTTACACGCAGCCACCTCCTAGAAATAAACATGCAATTTGTTAATTAGATTTGTGCAGTTAGTACATTTAAGGGCATAAAACTCCCTACGTCCTGTTAATTGCAACGTACTTGTATGAAGTTGGATCCTCGCCTCTCAACTCCTGATTTAAATTTAAGAAGGCTCCTTTTTGTGCTCGCCTTTTTCTCCATCTTCTGGTAGGCCCCCGCTTTCTACGCCATTTGTTTTCCTCTTCTTTTTCCTGCGACGCTAATATAATGGCACACACTGCATAATCCGTTTTATCTTCACAATCACCCATTCTTTTCGTCTAATAACAAATACACGATAGAATTAATGATCTGACAGCACGTCTACTCAAAGGAAAGAACACAATGACACGGCTTCACATAGATCGTAGTTTGCGGCTACTTCATGCAGCAATGTTTCTCTAGCAAAACTGGCTTGTAGCCTGGGGGAGGGGGAGGCGGGGCTTTGGAGCGAGCTTGAGCACAAGCTCGCTCCAGCTGCCTGTAGTTTGTAACGGGTCATAGAGAGGAGGGAGCAAGCTTGTTTACTGCTGCCCTAGAGACTAGGACGCGGGACAATGGCTTCAAACTACAAGAAAGGAGATTCCATCTGAACATGAGGAAGAACTTCCTGACTGTGAGAGGTGTTCAGCAGTGGAACTCTCTGCCTCTGAGTACAGTGGAGGCTCCATCTTTGGAAGCTTTTAAACAGAGGCTGGATGGTCATCTGTCAGGGGTGCTTTGAATGCAATATTCCTGCTTCTCGGCAGGGGGTTGGACTGGATGGCCCAGGAGGTCTCTTCCAACTTTAGGATTCTGTAAGAAGGAACTGTCTTCTGCCCCCTGCCCCTCTCTCTTCACTCTGGGCAAGAGCAGCATTTGATGGGGGGGGGGGCTCCCAAGCGATGACATAGGCAGGAGACAAGATGGAACTGATCTTCTGCCTGTTAACGTCAGCCAGGCAGATTGTACATTTTTTTTTCATGTCAGGAGCGACTTGAGAAACTGCAAGTCGCTTCTGGTGTGAGAGAATCAGCCGTCTGCAAGGACTTTGCCCAGGGGACGCCTGGATGTTTTGATATTTTACCATCGGGTTGTTGTAGGTTTTTTCAGGCTTTATGGCCATGTTCTAGAGGCATTCTCTCCTGACGTTTCGCCTGCATCTATGGCAAGCATCCAGAGAGACAATTTCAACAGAAAGGAGGAAACCTAGAAAAGGCAGTCTTCCTTCATTTTCTTTTCCATGGTGAACTGGATGTTTGGGTGGATGCTGTTAAGATGGTCCAGGAACCTGTTGAGTTCTTGTTCACTATGGAAAAAGAAAATGAAGGAAGACTGCCTTTTCTAGATGTCCTAGTCATCCGTAAACCAGATCAACAATTGGGTCACACCGTTTACAGAAAACCCACACACACAGATAGATATCTACATAAAAACTCCAACCATCACCAAGTCAAAAAAGAAGCACCATTAAAGCCTTGGCAGACCGTGCAAAAAGAATCTGCGAACCCCACCTCCTCCAAGATGAATTGAACCACCAAAATCTTCAGGCCAATGGATACTCCACCTCAGACATCAGAAGAGCTGCAAGACCAAGAACAAGCCACGAGAGTCAGATGAAGATCCACCCAGAGGAAAAGTGTTCCTGCCATACATCAAGGGAACCACTGACCGCATAGGGAAGCTGATGAGGAAACACAACATACAAACAATCTACAAACCCACCAAGAAAATCCAACAAATGCTTCGTTCAGCAAAGGACAAGAGGGATCCTCTCACCTCTGCAGGTATCTACCGTATACCATGCAGCTGTGGACAAGTCTACATAGGGACCACCAAACGCAGCATTGCCCAACACAAGAATCCAGGAACATGAAAGGCACTGCAGACTACTCCAGCCAGAGAAATCAGCCATAGCAGAGCACCTGATGAACCAACCTGGACACAGCATATTATTTGAGAACACAGAAATGCTGGACCACACTAACAACCACCATGTCAGACTACACAGAGAAGCCATTGAAATCCACAAGCATGTGGACAATTTCAACAGAAAGGAAGAAACCATGAAAATGAACAAAATCTGGCTACCAGTATTAAAAAACTTTAAAATTACAACAGCAAAAACAGGCAGGGACATCTAATCACCTTTCAAGAAGAGTTTGCTCCAGGCACAGTCAGCCCATTGAATGCTAATCAAGGTGGTCAGTTGAAACATTCACAGCTCCAGCAGACAAAAGTCCTTTGTCTCACCCTGGTCATTCCACAGATATATAAACCTTTTTCCTAGTTCCAACAGACCTCACTACCTCTGAGGATGCTTGCCATAGATGCAGGCGAAACGTCAGGAGAAATGCCTCTAGAACATGGCCATACAGCCTGAAAAAACCTACAACAACCCAGTGATTCCAGCCATGAAAGCCTTCGACAATACATATTTTACCATCCTTGGTATGTCAGCTCCAGTGGGAGCTGGAGCTGACAGAGGGAGCTCATCCGTGCTCTCCCCAGATTCGAACCTCTCCAGTCCTGCCGGCACTTAAGACATTAGCAAAGCACTGACTGACTACAGAGGAACCACGTGACCCAGGAGGAGGCGAAGCAAGACCAAAGGAGCGCAAAGGAGGCTGGGAAGCGGCGCCCGCGGAGGCCTCTGGGGCGCGGGGGAGGGGGAAGGGGAGGGGAGGGAGGCTGATTTCCGGTTCCGGCCGGGCCTGTGCGAGTTGCAGCCTGGCGGTGGGCCCTCCGCCCGGACCCGCGAGGGAGCAGGGAAGGGTTCAGGGGGGCTCCCCTCACACCGACCGTGCCACGGCGGGACCAGCCCTGTTTGGGGCGCGGAGGAGGCTGGGGCAGCGCCACACGCCGGTGAGTGCCGCCCAGAGCCGAGAGGGGCCCGCTCCCCGGAGGAAGGCCCTCGCGCCATACTGTCCTCTGAGCCAAGCCCCTCTTTTCCTCCTTTGCAAACCTCTCTCCCTCTCCTGAAGCCCCCTCCTCCTCATCTCCCCCCCCCCATCAGTCCCATCCCTTTTTCACCGTCCCATCTTACGTCAACATCAGACAACCTACATCCAATCTTTCTCATCCACTTGCATATTCTCCCCCTTTTAAATCTGTATAACCCGCCCCCTATTTTGATTTTTTAAACATAGATTGCTCTTATGTCTCTCTCCCTCCCCCCCCCCCCCCCCCCCCACAATTGTAAGGACTTCCTTCTCTTCTTCCCACTTTGTAGATCACTCCCGCATTTTCTTAAGGTGCATCCCCTTCCACACAGCTCTATATTCCAGAATATCAAGGTAGAAAACCCCACATTATGTGATGTGGTGGCAAAAAAAACCCAAAGGGATTTTGGCCTGTATCAATAGGAGCATAGTGTCTAGATCAGCATCCAACCCCTCTGTTGCGCCAGCTCCATTGGCTACCAATTTGCTACCGGGCACAATTCAAAGTGCTGGCGTTGGCCTATAAAGCCCTAAACCAGTGTTTCTCAACCTGGGGGTCGGGACCCCTGTGGGGGTTGCAAGGGGGTGTTAGAGGGGTCGCCAAAGACCATCAGAAAACATAGTATTTTCTGTTGGTCATGGGGGTTCTGTGTGGAATGCTTGGTCCAATTCTGTCGTTGGTGGGGTTCAGAATTATTTATTTATTTATTTTATTTCGAGGTTTTATATACCGACCCTCTCACCTTCAAAGAGGGATTCGGACCGGTTCACAACATGTGTTAACATACAAAAAATATACAATAACAACACAATGCCACTTCATTACACGGCCATTTCATTGTGGGTGAACTATAAATCCCAACAACTACAACTCCCAAATGGCAAGGTCTATTTTCTCCAAACTCTACCAGTGTTCACATTTGGCCATATTGAGTATTTGTGCCAAGTTTGATCCAGATCCATCATTGCTTGAGTCCACAGTGTTCTCTGGATGTAGGTGAACTACAACTCCAAAAACTCAAGGTCAATGTCCACCAGACCTTCCCAGTATTTTCTCTTGGTCATGGGAATTCTGTGTGTCAAGTTTGATTCAATTCCATCATTGGTGGAGTTCAGAAGGCTCTTTGATTTTAGGTGAACTATAAATCCCAGCAACTCCAGCATTACCAAATGACAAAATCAATCACCCCCAACCCCACCAGTATTCAAATTTGGGCATATTGGGTATTTGTGCCAAATTTGGTCCAGTGACTAAAAATACACCCTGCATATCAGATATTTACATTACAATTCATAAGAGTAGCAAAATTACAGTTATGAAGTGGCAATAAAAATAACTTTATGATTGTGGGTCACCACAACATGAAGACCTATACTAAGGGGTCGTGACATTAGGAAGGTTGAGAACCACTGCCCTAAACGGTTCTGGCCCAAGTTACCTATCCGATCGCATCTCCGCCTACGAACCCACAGGGAGGCCCTGCTCTCGATCCCACCTGCAACACAGGCACAGTTCGCGGGGACGAGAGACAGGGCCTTCTCAGTGGTGGCCCCTCGGCTGTGGAACGCCCTTCCCACGGACATTAGATTGGCTCCCTCACTAATGGTATTTCGGAGAAAAGTGAAAACTTGGTTATTTAAACAGGCGTTTGAATAGACAGTGCAATGAATTATAGGAAACGGAACAACGGATGACGAGTTTGGATCATAATTCTAGTTACAAGACGCCAATGAGTGTTTATTGATGTTAATTGCTTAGTCTGCTATTGTGTTAATTGTTTTTAAATACCTTGTTTGATGTTAGCTTTGAATTGTTGCTACTACTGTTTTTAACCGCTGTGAGTCGCCTAAGGGCTGAGAATAGCGGTATACAAATGAAGTAAATAAATAAATAATAAATAAATCAGTGGTTCTCAACCTGGGGTCCCCAGATGTTTCTGGCCTTCAACTCCCAGAAATCCTAACAGCTGGTAAACTGGCTGGGATTTCTGGGAGTTGTAGGCCAAAAACATCTGGGGACCCCAGGTTGGAAACCACTGGTCTAGATCCAGGGAAGTCATGCTACCCCTCTATTCCGCCTTGGTTAGACCACACGTGGAATACTGTGTCCAATTCTGGGCACCACATTTGAAGAAAGATATTGACAAGCTGGAATGTGTCCAGAGCAGGGTGACTAAAATGATCAGGGGTCTGGAGAACAAGCCCTATGAGGAGCAGCTCAAGGAGCGGGGCATGTTTAGCCTGAAGAAGAAAAGACTGAGAGGAGATATGATAGCCATGCATAAATATGTGAGAGGAGGTCACAGGGAGGAGGGAGCAAGCTTGCTTTCTACTTCCCTGGAGACTAGGACACGGAACAATGGCTTCAAACTACAAGAAAGGAGATTCCATCTGAACATGAGGAAGAACTTCCTGACAGTGAGAGCCGTTCAGCAGTGGAACTCTGCCCTGGAGTGTGGCGGAGGCTCCTTCTTTGGAAGCTTTTAAACAGAGGCTGGATGGCCATCTGACAGGAGTGCTTTGAATGCAGTATTCCTGCTTCTTGGCAGGGGGTTGGACTGGATGGCCCATGAGGCCTCTTTCAACTCTATGATTCTGTGATCTGCTTTGAACTGGAATATATGACAGTATGGGATTTTCTGCCTTGATATTCTGGGATATAGGTCTGTGTGGAAGGGCCCTACACTAGGCATGGGCAAACTTCGACCCTCCAGGTGTTTTGGACTTCAGCTCCCACAATTCCTAACAGCGTTCCGAAGTTTGCCCAGGCCTGATCAGCATCGTGGAGTTAATGCAATTTTGACATGGTTCAGGGCAGTTGAAGTTTTGCAAGGTCTATAAACTTCCCTGCCAAAGAGTGCAGGGGCCTCACCAAACTACAAATCCCATGATTCCTCAGCATTGGGCCATGGCAAACTGCATTAATCTTACAGTGCAGATGTACCCCACCCCCGAAAACAATAATAATAATAATAGTAATTACTACTTTATTTTTATACTTTGCCTCCATCTCCCCAAAGGGACTCGGGGTGGCTTAAATGGGGCCAAGACCCATCCCAAGACCCTTCTACAGAGCCCTGTATCCCAGAATATCAAGGCAGAAAATCCCACACCATCTGCTTTGAACTGGGGTATCTCAGGGCCCTTCCATACAGCACTATATCTCAGAATATCAAGGTAGAAAATCCCACATTATCTGCAAGCTTGTTTTCTGCTTCCCTGGAGACTTCAAATTGGAGTTAATGCAGTTTTGACATAGCTCAGGGCAGTTGCAGTTTTACAAGGTATTTCAACTTCTGTGCCAAAGAGTGCAGGGGCCTCACCAAACTGCAAATCCCATGAGTCCATAGCATTAGGCCATGGCAAACTGCTTTAATCTTACAGTGCAGATGTACATCCTCATCCCCCGAAAACCATCCCAAGGCCCTTCTACACAGCCCAGTATCCCAGAATATCAAGGCAAAAAATCCCACAATGCCTGCTTTGAACTGGGTTATTTGAGGGCTCTTCCACACAGCCCTATATCCCAGAATATCAAGGCGGAAAATCCCATAATATCTGTTTTGAATTGGATTATCTGAGTCCACACTCAGATAATGTGGGATATCCTGTCTTCATATTCTGGGATATAGGGCTGTGTGGAAGGGCCCCCATTCTGTATTATGTCCTAAACTAGATCTTTCCAAACATGTCATGCTGGTGACACACTTTTTAGACATGCATCATTTTGCAACACAGTCATTCAGTTTTACAAGTAAGCAGAAGATTAACTCTTTATAAGAGATACAGACACAGAGATAAATTGTAATAATGGAATTTATGAAGATGCGACATCACTCATGAATATATAAATAAAAATGTAATGTTCATTTGTGGGATTAACATAACTCAAAAACCATTGGACAAATTGACACCAAATTTGTACACAATACACCTGTCAGGCCAACAAGTGACCATCACTCATAAAAGCACTGAAAAACACAGTGGAAGGGGCTTAAACAGACAAAAAATTAAAAATACATTACAACGCTTGCGCAAAACCATATATATATATATGCAAATACACATATACACAAATATATACACACACAAAACACATATACACAGACTAGGCCACAGCAATGCGTGGCAGGGGACAGCTAGTGTGTATTATCTGAGATTTATTGCTTGTTTCAAGACTTAGGGTTTTCTTGCTACATTCACGCAACACACCAGTGTACTGCAGCCAATACACTGTTTGGAAAGCTCTGCTCTAAATATACCCTGGGCTAGAGCTTAGCTGCTCTGGCCCCTTCCACATAGCTGAATAAAATCCCACATTTTCTGTTTTGAAGTGGAATATATGGCAGTGTTGTCTCAGATATTCCAGTGAAAACAGATATTGTAGGATTTTCTGCCTTGATATTCTGGGTAATATGGCTGTGTGGAAGTGTCCCCAGTTTTTCCACAAAATTTGCAACCTAGTTACTAGGTTCTTGTGGGTTTTTTCGGGCTATAGAGCCATGTTCTAGAGGCATTTCTCCTGACGTTTCGCCTGCATTTATGGCAAGCATCCTCAGAGGTGTGAGGTCAGACCTCACACCTCTGAGGATGCTTGCCATAGATGCAGGCGAAACGTCAGGAGAAATGCCTCTAGAACATGGCTCTATAGCCCGAAAAAACCCACAGGAACCTAGTGATTTCAGCCATGAAAGCCTTCGACAACCTAGTTACTGATTGCAGAACAGTGTAGTGGTTCTATCACATTCAATTTTCCTAATTTTTAGGAAATAACAGTTTGATTGTTAGTTCCAACTAGAGTTAGAATCAATGATTGAAGGGTAAGGGCCTTTCCACACAGCCCTAAATCCCAGAATATCAAGACAGAAATTCCCATAATATCTCAGATAACTGGGTTATCTGAGTCCACACTCTGACAATGTG